TGCCTCCCGTCCTCGTGCATGCGCGAATTGTACTTGTGGTCGAAAAGAATTGGAAGAAAAAGCTGATAAAGAAGCATTCAAGAAATTATTAGAAACAGGAGCAGTACGGAGTTCTTGTGGTAATGTAAGTTATATACACTAAATTAAATTAAATTATATTATATTTATATTTAATTAAATTAAATTGAATTAAATAATGTATAATATATTCAATAAATTGAATAGAATTTAATAAAGTAAAATGAATTAAAAAAAAATGAAGTGACCTGCAGATACACCCGAAGACTGTGACATATCCTCATAGTCAGCTGTATGTACACCCCAGATGAGTTAAAAAAAATTCATTTTATTTTTTTTTATTTTTTTCAGTTCTTTTTTTCTGTGTTTTCTTTTTGCAGTGTTACCTTGGAGATGCATTTAGATGCGCAGGCTGTCCATACAGAGGTAAACCCTTTTATTAATTATTTATTATTTAGTATTTATTATTTATTATTGTTATTTATTATTCTATATTAATTATTATTATTATTATTCATTTACTATTATTATTATATGCATATATAGTTATAATCCTTGTCTTTTTTTTCCTTTCTTTAGGTCTTCCTGCCTTCCGCCCTGGAGAGAAGGTAGATTTATCTGCTGAAGGAAGAGCTGGTGCTGCTGCTGCGGTTACTGCTGCTGCTGCTGCTGCTGCTGCACCTGGAGACGCAGCCGCAGCAGGTATAACTGTAGATAAGACAACAAATAAAGTAGTACTTTCTTCTCTTGATGACGATCTATAATTAATACACGAACAACCACTACTGCAGTGTACGTACACCGTAAATATGTATTGTCTTTAATTTATTTATTTTCTTCTTTGTTTAGTTGAAAAAGAAACAAAAGATGTTTGCTGCCTCCCTCTCGGGTGTACGTACAGCAGCAGATTTATTAATAGATCTGCATGCACTTTTATTTCTTCTTTATTTATCTTATTTCTCTTTTCTTCTATTTAACATTTTAATTTCTTTTTGTTGTTTAATATTATAAACGAAATAAACTACACGTAAAGGGCAGCACCAGCAGCAGCAGCTGCTGCTGCATCTCCTGCTGCTGCTCCTGCTGCAGCTGCATTTATTATTTAGAATTTAGATCCCCCTCCTTCTGGGTAGCTAGCCAGCTAGCTAGCTACCTACCTACCTAGCTACCTCGTATATCTATAGGTGATTGGACTTAGCTTCCTGCGCAGTTTCGCTTGTCTAGAGAAAAAGGAAGGGAAACTTTATTTACTAAGCAAGAGGTGTATATAATAATTATTTATTTATTATTACTATTTAATTATTAATCACATAAGGGAAAATAAAAGAAAACGGAGTTATATATACCCTTCAATAAGAAAGGATATAAGGAAAGGAAAAGCGTATATATATAAATATAAATATATATATACAGTCCTTGTTTTTATATATATAACCTCTTCTTATGAGAGGGATTTTAAACATAAATAAATAAATAAATAAAAGAAGAGATAAAGAAAAGAAGGAAACAACAAAACAGGAAAATAAAACAGGAATAAGAAGAACAGTAATAAATAAAATTTACATGAAGAGTATAATTATTAATAAAAGTTGAATAAAAAGAAGAAATAAATAAATAAATAAATAAATAATAATATACTCTCTTCATATAAATAATAAAGTTGAATAAAAAAGAAGAAATAAATTAAATGAATAGAAGATCGGAAAATAATTGAATTAATTGAAATAATAATTGGGGTGTATAGACAGCTATAAATGCATGCATTTAATTGGATTTTTTTCTTTATTTTTCTGCATTTTTGCAGAAAACTAGAAAAAGAAATATACGTATATAAATAAATAATATATAATAATAATATATATAATTATTCCTTATTAATAGGAGATAAAGAAAAACATGGAGGGAGGTACATAATGAATAAGAGTATTTTTATCTGTTAATATTAGTACTTGAATAAACTATAAATTAATAATAAACAAATAACTAATAAATATAAATAGATAAAATTATTCTTTATCTGTAGGAGAACAAGAAGAAGAATAAGAAGAGGAAGAAGAAGGAGGAAGTACATAACCTTGATCAATAAGATATTGATGAATTCTTGTAACTTTATCTTTTATATTTGTACTTGAATCAATTGTTAATTCAGGATGAGTAGGAACTTCATAAGGATCAGATACACCAGTAAATTGTTTTATTATTCCTTTTCTTGCTTTCTTATATAAATCTTTTATGTCTCTTTCCTCACATACAGATAACGGTGTACATACATATACTTCTACATATACACCTATAGCAACAGCAACAGCAACAACAACAGCAGCAGCAGCAGGAGAGGCACACGCAGCAGCAGGAACAGCAGAAATAGCATGTTATATACATATATCTCTTTTTTCTTTCTTTCTTGTATAATACTAATTATATATATGTATATTTATATATTATACAAGATAAAGAATTAATTAATTAATTAATTAATTGT